GCAGAGTCCCAAGAATCCAGCCCCATAGGGAGGCCGTGCTGTGCCTTCCCTAGCAGAAGCTCCAAGGAAGCCACAGTTCTAGCTACAAAGTCCATTTTGACTTTTCCTTTCTGACAGGAAGCCTGTTAGGACTTGGGGTTGAAGGGAAAAGCTGAGTAGGTGAGGAACTACATTGAGGCTAAAGGAGTTGGTCGCAAAAGGAGGCGGTATCCTCAGGTCTAGGAATCGGTCTCCAGGCAGAAAGGGGTTGTAGCTGCTTGTGCATGTGTCCTCCTACCGTTGCTGGTTGAGATAATAAAGCCCAGAGCTGCCACTTTGTGGTGCAGGACCAGCATGCGGCAAAGCTTTGGCCTAGGTGGCTCCCTGGGCACCTGTTTAGCAGTCTCTCGGCTTCCTTCTGCTGCTGCTCCTGCGTCACTCCAAGAGGTCAGCCCCTCTCTTGGGGATTCCGCATTAGTCTTTCCAGATGTGCGATGCTGCTCCAAGGTCATACGTGTGGTCTCTTCCCTCTCTAGGCAGTGAGCCCTTGCAGGGGAAGTAGTATGAACTCCTGTAATACCTAGACGCTGACCAGAAGGCCCAGCTCTCCTGGCCCAGGCGGCACAAGCCTGGCTTGGGCTACTCCCTCACAGGTGGTGGAGTAGGGTGGGGGTTGTGCTGAATCAGAAACTATGGCTTCTGTGTATTGCTTCCTCTTCTTGCTGGCCCATGGCTTGGGAACAGTGGCTGCCTTTCTGGGACAACCAAGGCGCCTGGCCAGAGTGTGCCCTGCCAGGTACTGTCCGCTCTTGAGCAGGCCAGAGTCCTCCTCTTAACACAGAGAAGGCCCTGGGTTATTGGTGTTGTTTTTGGCCGACCACTGGGCCCCTCAGCAAACAGGGAGGCGAGTGTGCACCCGGCCTGGGCCTGTTTGTGTTGGCTTCATCAGACTGGGGATTAGCTCAGCTGGGCTGCTAATTGCCTCCGAAGTGCCGGCCGGGATGCTGACAAGGGCTGGCCTCTGGGCCCTCTTCCCCTGATGGGCATCATGCCAAGCTTGGGGGCCTGGCCCAGAAGGGCCCCCTTTCTCCCCTGTCAGCGCCTGCTTGGCCTAGACCCTTGAGAGCGGGCAGGGGGTCAGCAGGACCGACAGCTCAGGAAGGAATGGGAGCAGATGCCTATGAAGTCATCTCCTGGGCCAGGCCAGGCCACACTCCACACACCCCTCCCCCAAAGCCCCTAGGAGCCCCCCGCCCCCTTCCCAGGAATCAGCTGCTTTCTCCTAAAGCTCGGCACTTGGTGCTCGTACTGCGATCTGCTCCCTTCACTGTAGCCACTGCCTACTCTGTGCTGCCTCCCCTGTCTTGGTCCTCCTGGCTGCCCTCCCTCCGTCTGTCTTTCTCCGCCCCTCGGTCACTTGTTCCCTGTGCTTCACTTCTATCCTGCTGTGTGGCCACTCTGCGACATGAAGGCCCTCCCGGTGCTGCCCAGGCTTCCCGTGTGTGAGCTGTTCTCTAGAAAAGGCCACTCTGGGAGGTGCACTGTCATTGCAGTTTCACACTTCTCCCAGGGCCCTGCAGCCTACACCTGGAAGGCAGGTGGGGTCTCATGCCCACAGGCGAGCCCCTGGCTGGGCACCATCCTTCCTGCACCTCTCACCGTGCTCCTGGTGGCTCCTGCTCCCTGTTCTCACCATGCTTCACACCCACAATGCAGCCTAAACTCAGCCAGTTAGTTATTCAGAAGAAGCAAGCAAACGGGGTTTCCAGTTGGTCTTAGGGACAGCTTTGCCTGAGGCTTGTTAGCCCCCAGCCCGGCAGGGACTCTGGTCCCTGAGTCAGCCTGCTTCTGCTCCCTGGGAGGGGGCCACCCTCTCTTCTCTGACTCCTTTCAACTTGGGACTGCCTTGTCTGTCTCCTGAGCCCGTAATAGGGAGTGGTACCCTGTGTTGGGTTTTGTATCACCCTATTCGTCATCCCAGATTAGGTGTGTAGTGAGGGGTGAGGCAGGGAGCAGCTAAAGAACCATGTCTTATGAGAGCTCTGACAGTAAGTTTTCTAAAGTCCCCATATAATGGGGAAGTTAGCCACGCTGGGTTCAGTCCCTCTGACTCTACCCTCTGCGACCTTTTTCATTTGTTCAGAGCCCCCTTGGAGGATGGTGAAGTGGCCCTTGGCATGCACCTGCCCTCCAGGCCCTGTCCCATCTTTTTCTCCAACTTCCCTGTTTGCTTTATTGGAGAGGCAGATTTACAGAGAAAAGAGACACAGAAGGATCTTCAGTCCGCTTGCTCTTTCCTCAGGTGGTTGCAACAAACAGAGCTGAGTGGATCTAAAAAGCCAGGAGTTTCTTGGTCTCTCACACATGTGCAGGGTCCCAGGACTTTGGGTCATTTTCAACTGCTTTCCCAGGCCCCAAGGAGGGAACTGGATGGGAAGTGGAGCAGCCAGGACACAAACCAGTGTCCATATGGGATCCTGGCAGTTGCAAGGCGAGGATTTAGCCTCCAGGCCACTGCGCCGGGCGCTTCCCTGCTTTCTTCACCTCATTGTGATTGGGTCTAACCTAGCATTGACCTCTAGCCACAGGCCTTGGACACGAGCTGTCGTCTTTGCCGCTGCTCCCCTGTATCACATCCAGCAAGATCTTCTTGTTCACATCAACACTCATAGAAGGTCCATCTGCTGCCATCCAGGCCAAGGTCTAACACACAGCTCATGGCTCAGTGAGACAGTGTCTCTGCAGTCCTGGTGGGATCTCAGACCACACGCAAGGGGGTCCTCAGGGCTGTCCAACACCAAGTTCCCCTGTGTAGCGTCTGCTACTATTGATTTGCTTTTCCTATGCCTTTCCCCAAGCTCCCTGTTCTACAAAGAAAGTCACTGCCACAATTACAAGATGAAGAAATAATCATTTTATCGTGCATAAGACTATGTCATGGGCTGTCACAGTGACAAGGAGCCTAGTATAAAAATCAGAGGGTGGGGTGGGAGCTGCAGCGTGGGGTAGCAGCACCCAGAGCTGAGGTTCACCCAGTCCTGGGCCTTAGAGAGATCACCTTCACCTTGGGACGAGACTAGTAGAGGGTGGTTCACTCAGGACGTTGACCCTCTCGCCAGTCTCCAGGCTTCAGTGGGACCGAGAGTGGGTGTGCTCTGTCAGGTAAATGCCGGTTCCTCTTACGTTTTTAAACGTGGGGCAGTTCAGAGATAGGCTCGTCCAAGGAACTCCTTTCTCCTGTGACTGTGGATGCCTTTGACCTTCACAGCATCGGTGCACTGGGTCTGCCCGTGACTCCTAGGATCTTGTCTGAGACCTGGGCCCCAGCCTTCAGAACCCAGGAGGATCAGCTTTGAGAAGCTCCTTGGCAGGCAGGAAGACACAGCCCTCTCGCTTGATCTTCGGCCAGTGCCCAGCAGTCCAGCCCAGCAACCTGCCCTGGCCCGGGGAGAACGGCTCAAGCCCTGTCTGAGGGGATCAGAGGAGGGATCCCCACATTCCCTTTGGGTCTGGCTTGTGCCAGGGAGGGCACTAAGCAGAGCCCATCAGAGGAATGAATGATGAGCCCAGCTGCACAGCTGGGGGGACACTGACTTGGCTCAGCTTTCATCCACATCAGAGCTTCCCCCCAACCAAGGTTACCCCACACTCAGATGTGACTCCAGCATTTCAATTGGCTTTGTCCGCCTCAGATGGACACCGAGTAGAGAGCTTAGCTGCAGGCCAAGGGTGTTGACCTTTCCTGTGAAGGAGCCAGCAGCAGGAGGCATGGACCAGAAGGCCCAGTGGAGGGTTTCTGCAGGCTGGGGTCCTCATTGAATTTGGGGCTTGGGGTTCGGGCCGTGCGGAGACTGGACTAACAACGAGCTCCTCTGGCGGTGACTGAGAAGGAGGGGGATCCACAGCCCATCCCGCTCCTGCTCAGTGAGGCTGGGGCTGCTGCTGGTGCACAGCGACAGGCCTGTGCCGTTGAGTCTGGCAGCACCCGTGGTCCCTGGGACCTGCGAGGCCTGTAGGAGCCGGCATGGCTGGTGCCTCAGCCGCTCAGGCCTCACCAGCCGTCCAAGCCTGTCTCGCCCTCTGAAACTGTGTGGCCATCTCTGCCTGTGATCTCTGGTTCCTGCTGCTTCCCTGTCATCCTTTCCTCCCCCAGACCAGCCCCAAGGGGCTTTCAGTGCTTGCCTTTGGGTACAGAATGAGCCTTGACAGAGGGACCTACGCGCCGCCCCCTTCCCCCCAGCTGCTGGGGCCTGGCCTGCACTGCCCCCTAAAATGTTTTGTCTGCCTCTGGGGCTGCTGTGATTATCCAAGTTGTGAGACATGCGTGACATCATAGGAGAGCACTTTTGCACAGCCCTTCCCTCTCCCTGTGTGTATGCTGTGGATGTGTGTCATTTCCCGTCTCGGCTTCACTGTGAGTAGGTGGCTCAGGAGCACACATGTGCGTGTGTGCGTGTATGTGCGCGTGTGTGCGTGTGTGTGTGTGTGTGTGTGTGGTTTCCCTTTTCAGTTTCACCTAGAGCAGGTGACTCAGGGCTGTGAGTGACAGGCCTGCCATGACCTCACCTGCACTACCTTCTCACAAGGGCTCACTGCTCTTGACCTGGCATCTACTGTTTCCTTCTGGGGCTCATGCTGCCAGGGTTCCCTGGGTGGGCCTGTATGGGGTGAAGAGTTGCGAGCCTCTTTTTCAGGCATGTGACTCCATTAAGATGATCCCCATCTTCCCCACCAGCAGGCCCACTCTCCCCGGCAGGCAGCGTCAGTGCACTCCATATTACCCACCTCCATTCTGCAAGGAGAAAAACGGACACAGATAACAACCGAGTGGTCAGCAGCGGCCATGTGTGGACAGCCAGAGGCACGAGAAAGGTCCCTTTGGTCATTGGCAGCCACAAAGGCCCGGGCTTTGGGGAGGCCCTGGTCGGTGCCCTTGGGGTCGCCTGCCTCATCTTGGCAATAAATAACATGAGGACCCAAAAACCAAACCAAAACAAAAATACAACCAGTATCTCTTGGGGTAGGTGGTGGGACAGTTTAAATTACTGGCCTCCCCTGGGCCACATGGTGTTTGCTGGGCACAGGGCTGGCAGCAGTCACCGGCACGTGTGCAGTTCCACCAGGCGCTGGCACTGCCGGCACTTGACAAAGCAGCACCAGTGGAATTTGCAGCTGCAGCGTTCAGCCAGCTCGACCTGGGCCGTGTGGAAGCCGCGGCCACAGCACAGCAGCTCACAGCCATCGATGGCCTTGGACGTCTTGTTGCAGGTGCGGCCTCTCGTGCCCAGCACACCGCTGCGTATGTCCTGCTCGCAGAAGTCTGGGCTGGGCTCCAGGTACACCAGATCCTCGTCCGTGTGCGGCTTGAACTGTGCATTGCGTGGCACCAGAGCCCTGGACGAGCCCACCCGACGCGGCTCCACCTCGGTGGCACCGTCAAACTTCTCCTTCAGTGCGTGGCCCACCTGGCGAAAAGGTGGTACCGCCCGCCAGCAAGTCTTCACCTCACAGGAGCCCGACACCCCGTGGCACTTGCACTCCACCCGCATGTGTGACAAGATGGCCTGAGGGAAGGGACAGAGAGAACTGTCAGGGAGATGCTGTGGAGGCTGGGAGGGGCCCTGAGGGCTGGGTGGGGAGCATGGAAGATGGGAAATTGCACAGAATCCGATTTCCCTGTCAGGCTAACTCCTAAGAGAAATACCTACTGGATGCCATGCTTAGCTTGTGGATGGTAACAAGAACAGGGCAAGATGCTGTCCCTGTGCCCAGAGTGTTGGGCGCTGATGAGGGAAGAGTCTAAAGGGCAGTCCCTTGGGAAGTGGAGTGGCTGGTGATATGAGGGGACTTGTCCTCTCAGGGGCCTTGGGTGTCGTGGCTAAGCATAGGAAGGAGTCCGAACCTAGCACTGTTGGCAGGATGTGTGTCGCAGAGGATGGCCATGAATGGAGGGTGGCGCTGAGGCCCTGATGTGCCCTGCTCACCCGACCCCACCCAGCCTGGCCTAGACTCCAGGCACCCAGAGCTGACAAAGGCCTGGACAGTTTTTCCAGTGGCCACCCAGGGGGTAGTAGGGCCGGTCCTGCTGGGCTGCCCCCCGATAGAGAACCTGCCTTTCTCCCGGCCTCGTTGTTGTGGAGGTTCATGAGGGCCCGGCTGGACGAGGCGCCCTTGCTCCTCTCCCGCACATCCACGAAGGACTGTGAGAAGGCCACGCCGTAGGCGATGTTGTCCGAACATCCTGACCACTGGAAGCCTGGGGCAAGGCAGACAGGGAGAGGCCACAGTAAACCAGGCTGGTGGCACAGGCCCTGCCCTCCCATGCCGCCCACCTCCTGCGCTTACCCTGAGGGCTGACCCCATGCACTGTGCGGTCACAGCCGCATTTCTCCAGCTCCCCACTGCTGCAAGCCCGTGTCACTGCAAAGGCCACACCTGCTGAAGAGACAGCGTACACAAAGGCTGCCTCCCGAGTCCCTGTGGGAGGAAGAGGGAGAGCAGGGCTGAGTCCTAGCGCTCCCTGGGGAAGGGGACATGAGCTGCATGGTGAGCAGGGCAGGCAGGCTGAAATCCCAGACCTCTGTGTGCTGCTGGACACTGAATTGATGCCTTGGTCTCCCCATGCCAACAACAGCCCAGTCTCCTTACCCTACCTCAGGCACCAGCCGACCATCTCACCTTCACAAGTGTGCTGCCGGTGGATGACTGCTTAGCCCTGTTGTGTAGAGAGGTTAGGTGGCTTGTCTGAAGTCACACCTGTGGCGAAGCCAGCCAGGTCTGTCTTCAGAACCTGTTCCCACAGCTTATCCTAAAGGTCAGTGATGGCCACAGCACTTTAGGTAAACCAGAGGGACAGGCTGGAAGAGCGGAGCTGACCTCACACAGCCCCAGTGTGGCAGAGCTGGACTCCATACTGGGGCTGGCTTCAATCCAGTCCTCCTCCTTAGGTAACCCTGCCTGGCCCTGGCCCCTCAGGCTGGTCCTGAGGTAAGCCATAGCAGGTCCCTGCCCTCCTCTGATTGGGCATCCTGTCACGCTCAGACCCTCCGCCCTCAGGGCTGTCTGTCCCCAGGTGAGCCGCAGACCCCAAGACGGAATGGGTTGGACCCCATCGCCCAGCCGCGGAGGGACAGACGGGGACTCAGGCTCGGGCCTGTGTGCCTCTGCGTCTGCCCCGACTCCCCAGCGGTTCTATTTTGGAGCCGGCCCTCCTCCCTGCCTGAATGGATGTTTTCATCCTCCCAGGAGCTGAGCCTTGGGGGTTTAGCTGTGTGTCTCTCCAGAGAAGGATAAGGGGGGCCGAGAGCGGGCGCGTGAAGGGCCAGCCGGGTGTGTGACCAGACAGCAGGCCCTGCGCCTCTCCTGGGCCCTCTGAGGGCCTCTGTGTGCCATGACTGTCCCTCTGTCTCCTGCCGCGGGGTCTGTGTCCGCAGGAGCAGAGAGGACAGGCTTTAGCCCCGTGGTTGGCAAGTTACCTCCGTGACACCCAGGCCTGTGCTCAGCTGCCCCCGGGGAGCAGTCCCCGTGGTCAGAGGGGACAATCACCTCCTGTGTGCTGGTGTCTGTGGACAGAGGCAGGGAAGCCCAGCATGGGCTGGGGGGCTGCTCAGGACGCCCTGCTCTGGATTCGGCCTTTGAGCTGGGGACACAGCCCACCAACCACTCTGCGTTGCCCATGCTGTGCCCTGGCTTTGCCATTGTGGGCCAGTGTTGGGGGCCTTGGCTGGAGTAACAGAGCCTCGACAGCCTGAGTTGGAATCTTCTCCGAGTTAATCGAGGTTAATAGCAGGATCATGTTGGTTGGTTTTGTGCTGTGGCCGCCCAAAGAGAGACGACTTCAGTTTCTGGTATTTCTGGTATTTCCAGGCCTGAACCAGCACAAATCTTTGCCCCAAAGACCAAGGGGGAGGGGCAGGCAAAGTAGGAGATGGGCCTCATGGGACTGGCGGGCAGCCTCCGTTCTTGGCCCTGCCCAGTGCTTCCTGCATGACTCTTAGCCAGCCCTGGCCCAGCCCCAACTCTAGGCTGATCTTGGACCCCAAATGCCAGGGGTACCTGGGGTGCAGGGAGTCCTCAGCCTCAAGCCCCAGGCCAACATCTATCTGCTGAGACTCCAGGACCCCTGGGTTCCAGCTGAAGGAAGACAAGGCCACCGATTTCCTCAGCTGAAGGAAGATTCCGGAAGGAATAGGGGAAGACCCCTCAAGGAATTCATGGAAAATGCATATTATGGTGGGGGTGGGGAATCATGAATGCACTTCAAACATTTTTGCACCAAAATAATGTTTTGATTACATTTTTTCTTGAACTCTGATGGTAAGGTGAGAGCTGGGTACTACGCACTTCCTGTCTCCATTTGGATCCTGATCACACCAACTCGATAGGTATTTTTGACACCCTCCCCCCCATTTTATAGATGAGGAAACTGAGGCATGTGAGTGGTGGAATAATGTATCCAGCAACACCCCCACCCCAGAACGTGGTGGAACTAAAGTTGACCTCGGGTAGCCTAACTTCCAGGCCAGGACATCATCCCACTTCCCGGTGGCCTTGAGGCCCTGAGAATGCACACTCGGTAGATCTGCCTTCCACATGTGGACCAGCAAGGGCTGCCCCAGGTCTACCCTAAATCTAACCATGGGGGGACAAGCCAATCCCTGAGGGTGTGTGGGCTGCTGGGCTCTTGCAGGGCCCCCACAAGGTCTGGCCCCTACGTCTGACGGCCCCTCTCACCCTCTGACTGGCCTGACCTTCAGGGGCCATTGACTGCAGGGCTGTGGCCCCACCCAACTGGCTTTGGACCTCAACTGAGGTGCCCAGGACAGACCCTTACTCGCTAGTGGAAGACATTATGGGGCCTGCTATCCCTAGAGGCTGCCTAGACTCCAAGATGGGACTGCGAGAGGGCCTGGGGGACAGCGCAGGGAGCTCCCTAGCCAGCTGGTGGCTGTGGTTCTCTGCTCAGGGACTTTGTCCATTCCAAGCCACAAGTGGAAGGCAGTGCTTGCTTGGTCCCTACCTGCACAGGAGGAAGGCAGGGCTGCCTAGGACACAGCTGCAGCTCTCCCACCTTCTTCCTTGTCCCTGCAGCCATTTGCCGCTTCCCACACCCAACTTGTTCCTACCAATCCTCCCTGTTCCCTGGCCGCCTGGATCAGGCCTCCATACCTCCTTCCCAAGGTGCTCGGGCTGCCTTGGGGCTGGGAACTCTAGGGCTTGGGCTCTGCAAGGCTACTGGCAGTTTTGCTGTGCAAGAAAGGGAACTGCAAGACAATGAGTGCTAAGTGGGAGCTGGGAAGGCATGGCTGACTCGGACCCCATTCTGCAGAGCATGGCCCGGGCGGTAGCCCTCCTAGAAGCTGGAGGGAAGGACTGTGGGGTAGGACTGGCTAAGGCTGAGTCGGTTGGCTCTGGGGTGCTTGCATTCTGTCTCCAGGGAATGGACCACCAAGGAGAAGCTGAGTCTTTGGTGGAAGCAGAGGGGCTGAGATGGGGTCCACTGCCTTCCAGGAGGAGTCAGGCTGCTGCAGTGGTGGAGAAGGGGACAGGAATGGGGCAAGGGTGGTCCTGACAGCCCCACTCCTAAGCCCAGGTCCTCCCCGCCACTTGCCTTGGGGTTCTCAGCAGTCTTCTGAGGAGCGTCTCAGGGCATTCCCTCCCTCAAGCTCTCATGTTCACTCAACTCACCAGTTAACCTCCCGCGTACAGCTGCTATTCTAGGCCCCAGGATTAGGAAGTGGGTGAGCCACACACAGACCAGCTCCACACAGCCCCAACACCGGCACAGCCAAAGGCCACTACGTCCCACAGGACACTTTTAACCATGGTTTTGGTAGGTTTGCAGCTTAGAGCACACAGTGTGTCCCTAAATGCCACACTGCCCACTGCTCATCACGCCCACCTCCCTAGGCCCATGGCAGGGGCCTGTATTGCTCCGGGTGGGGGAGTGAGCCCTACCCAGCCCAAGGGGAGTTGGTTGGCAGCAGCATTGCCCTGGATGCTCATTCCTAGGGGTTGGTCCTGGGTATGTCCCTGTGTTACAGGAGGGATGACACTGAGGCTTCTAGCAGCCAGAGACCTGGCCCCAGGTCTCACAGCCCAGAGCTATAAGGTGCAGGGTCTGAGTGCAGAGCCCCACTCCCTGCAACACTGCAAACTGTCATGAGTGTGACCTGAGATATGACCCTCCCTCGGGACCTTTGACAAGGGATGTCTCCCAGGTGGGACCTGTTAGCTCTGTCCTCCGTGGCTGAGGCTAGGACCCTGCTGACCACACATGTGTATGGTACCAACCAAGCCCCTATGCCTGAGGGCTGGGATGTGTGAGACTCATAGACCTGAAGACAGCAGTAGCAGGTGGGGAAAGGACCTCTTCAGGGCCTCCCCGTGTGCTCCCTGGGCCTGAGGAGCCCATCTTGCTGATGGGAGGACGTGGCTCAGGGTGCAGACACCTGTCCCAGGCTGCACTTGCACATGCTGTCTTCCCATCAGGCTCATCTACCCAGCCCGTGCTTCCTGAATCACCACTGTGCTGTCAGAACCCGGAATGGACATGTCCATCACTCCTTTCTGCTCTGCGGAGACAAGAAAAATTCTCAAGAAGGTGCTGTTGTTATAGACTGATGCAAGCAAGCTGCAGTTTGCAATTCTGCATCCCGTAATGGATCACCAGCTTCGGAGCCAGCTCCCTGCCAAGGCACCAGGGAAGGCAGCAGATGGCAGCATGAGTACTTGGGTTCCTGCCACCCACATGGGAGACCTTGATGGAGTTCCTGGCTCCTGGCTTTACCTGGCCCAGCCCTAGATTTTGTGTGCATTTAGGGAGAGAACCAACAGATGGAAGAACTCTGATTTCTCTCCCCTGCTGTCTTTCAAATTTTTTTTTTAATTAAAAAAAATTAATTATCTCAAGGAAAGAAACTAAAAGCACAGGTGTGTGGAAGTATGAGTGGGAGGAGCGCAGATCCCTGCAGACCCACTGTGGTGTGTGCTTGGGATGGCCAGCCTGGGCGCAGGGTGCCTGGCTCAGCCCACAGGGAGCTGACACTCCACTCCACTGGCCGGTGGGTTTCTCAGTGTCCCTGGGAACCACGTCAGGTCCCCTCCTGGGTTCGGGCTCTGCAGGCGGGGGAGGCACTTCTCAATGGGGTCCTGTAAGCTGCATGAACACCAGTGTTAGAGAGGAGACTGCGGGTGCCTACATGTCTGTCTTTCTGGGGAGAGAGGACAGCATGGCCAGTGGATTAAGATGCTCCCAGTTTGTGAATCTAGTTAAGTGCCTGTAGGAATTCCTTATACATTTTTGTAGCTTTTCTGTTATTTTGAAACTGTACCCAAACAAATTCCAAAAAAAAGAGGACTACCCTCTCCTGTAAGAACAAAGAGCCTTGGAGATCAGAGGGAAGAGCTGGGGAGGTGTGGAAGAGGCAGGCATACCTGAGCTGGTCCAGAGGTGGGGGGCGGGGAGAGAATGTGCAAAGGCCCAGGGGTGCACAGGGCCTGGCACAGGGAACCGTGCTGAGCCACCCGCCAATCCACCTGAAACCCACTCTCGAGCACCTGCTGTGTGTGAGGCTTTTCCTAGGCCATGGTCTGCTATGGGAGGCTGGCTCTGGGGCACTGGCCCTGGCAACCCATCCTAGGCTGCTGCCTGGGTCTCTGCTTCTTTCCGAAAGCAGCGATGCTTAGCAGTGCCAAGAGCGAACGTGCCTTTCTGGCTCCTGCCAGCTCCCGGGAGAATGGCTTCCAAATTTCTATCACAGTTGGTTTCCAACAACATCTAAATGGTCTGCCTCAAGCCCAGCAGCCCTGGCTGTCCAGGACCACAGGTGCCAAGACAAAGGTTGGCCTGGGCAACCCCTCCCTGCTGCCCGAGCCAGGCAGAGGCCCCGTTGACTCTTGGTGGCTCCAAAGTGTCAGGTTCATTGCTCAGGAAGTGGACAAGGAAATTGCTGGTTGAGAGCACTTCCTCGAGGGCAGGGCTCGACCTGGTGCCCTTGTAAGGCCCCTTCCAGCTCCATAGATGGTTCTCTGTGCCCTGGCTCGCATTCCCTTGGCTCGGGGCCTCCTGGCTTCGTGATCTTGGCCATGGGCCCACCTCCCTGAGAGCGCCTCCTCAACCGTCCCAGGCCTGGCCAGAGGCGTGGCCATCTTTATGCTCCCTGGGCCCCTCCTCCATCACAGCATTGTCCAGGGTCCTTGACACCACAGACCCTGTCCTGACTCAGCCACACTCTAGTTCCGTGATCCCGAGCAAGGGACAGACCCGCTCACTCTGCCTCGATTTCTTCATTTACCTGACCTACGTTCCTGAGGATGCTCAGTGTAGTGTCTGGGCCAAGCTTGCTACTGCAAGTGTGTAAACTGCCCTCCCGTTGTGTGGGAGCTGTGAGCGCTGGAGGAGAGGCACAGGGCCCTTCATCCCTGGACCTCATGGGGTGCCCTGCTGGAGGCCCCCAGGAAACTGTCAGACATAAAGAGAATGAGCTAGACTCCCGAGATGGAGCCCCAAGATGGGGGAGCCCCGAGACGGGGGAATGGGAAACCCGGGCCTGGACCCAATGCTGCTCCTCACCCTCCCAGGAGCCCTGGCCTGTCCCCTGCTCAAGCCACGCTTTCTTCCTCATTAAAACAAGCCCTACTCAAACTCTTGTAAGGTCAACCCTCAAACCAACCATACAGCCAACACCATCCTTAGCCCCCGCCCCAGTCTCACACCCCCCAGGAACACCATGCCAGCTCCTCGGGGTTCTTCATTCTTCATGCTCTTTCTGGTTCAGAAACGACTCACACCCAAATAGCCACTTCTGAGCCTGTCACTCACTCTCCAGCAGCCACACACACACACACAGAGGCCCTTCCCTCACCTTGCGTCACCACCTTGCCGAAGACTGGCAGCGAGTCTAGCGTGGAGCAGTTCCAGCGTCGGTTCCGGAACTGGTACTGGCACTCCTCGATGGCCAGCTGGGCACCGCGGCGCACCGAGTCCATCACCTCCAGGTTCCGCTTGCACATCTGCACTTGCCGCTGGATTAGGCCCTTGAGCTTCTCGCACGTCTCCTCCTCAGAGATGCTCCCCACCGATGATAGCTTGGCCAGATACCTGGGGAGGGGTTAGAACACGACGCTGAGCTCCCCCAGCCGCTGCCCCTCCTCCGTGCCACAACAGGTCCTAGCTGTTGACTTGTCTCTGGAGAAGGGGCGGGGCCCTCCAGCCTGGCTCTCACACTGCTGACCACAAGAAGGCTGCTGTCTCGTCATGTCCCTTGTTTGTGCCCTGGGCACTTGCCAGACCCCACCCTGGGCTTCAGCAGCTCCCTGTGGCTGCCTCTGCCTGTGTCTTGTTCTGCACCCTGGGCTAGGCCGCAGTGACCTGGGCTGTCCTGGCTGTAAGACCACAGGGGCTGCTCTGTCACCCTCATCCTAGGATGGCAAATGGAGACCAGCGTCACTGCCCCCTTTGGAGGGAAGCACAGGCAGTGTGGGGGAGGGGGAGCGCCATGCACTCCTACCTCTCAATTCCTTGATTTTTGTTTTACATTTTGATTTATTTTGCAGACAGGATGAGAGAACAAGCGTTCTCCCATTCACTGGGTCACTCCCCAGAGGCCCACAGCGGCCAGGAATGGGCTCTCAGGCTCAAGGTTGGACCCAGAATTCCATCCAGACCTCCCATGTGCATGGCAGGGACCCAAGGACTTGAGCCATCACCTGCTGCCTCCCACAGGCTGCCTTCCCAACAAGCTGGAGTCGGGAGTCAGACTCATGGATCGAACCCAAGCTCTTCAATGTGCAGCACAGCGTCTTCACTGCTGTCTTCACTGGTAGGCTAGTAACCCACAGCATGTTTGTGGGGCAACTATGCTTGCCCACTTTTTGGATTCCAGAATGGAGAGTCGGGCGACATGCCCAAGGTGACAAAGACAGCAGGTGCCAAAGCTAAGCTCCATTCCCTTCAAACCCACAGCCCTTCCGCCTGCTCGTCCTCCTCCGCAGTGGCTGACTGGCCTGGGGAAGTCTCTGCTGATGGGAGACCCTTTGTGTGATCTGGGCCAGAGCATCCCAGGGGAAGTGGGAGGGTGGCAGAGCTGAGTCGGATCCCCTACTTGGAAGGGAAGCATGATGTGACTGAGCCATCACTGTGTCAGGAACTATTCAGAGCGTGAAGTCCACCGTACTCTGCTTGCAGGTGCACACCAGCTTGGAGCCTAGGTTCAGATGACCAAGCAGCGTGTGTTCTAAGCACTACCCTTGAACCTGCCCAGCCTCCCCAGTTGGAGCCAGGTGTGCATGGCAGGTGCACAGGAAGCAGTCTGCCCAGGAGGTAAGCTGAGTGGCAACTGCAAGGTCTCCCCTTTCCCATCTGTTCAGTGGGGGACGCATCTGGTCTCCTCCCAGGGTGGGGCTGCCATCCAGGTCTTGGTGGAGCAGTGAGATGCAGGGAAACATGGGATGTTCTCCAATAGCCAGCCTGGTCCGCACCCCTCATTTTATGGGGGAGATGAGGGTCTGCCTAAGGCTTCCCAGGAGGAAGCACAGGCCTCAGCTGACCTGCAGCCTCAACTCCTCAGGCTGGGAGCCCTGGACAGAAAAAGCACCTGTTCTGCTGACTCCTGTCCTACCCCCAACCAATGGCTTGCCCAAGGGCAGGGTTTCCTAGGGGTGGGGATGATGAAACTGCAAAAACTTCCTGTCCGGTGGCTCCAGAATTGGCTACCGTTCCCTGTTCCTGCCTGGCATGTGGGAAAGCACTCTTGGTTCTGCCCACAGCAAGTTGTAGAAGGGAACTCTGTCCAAGAGGGGCTGACTTGGTCATGAGGCAAAAAGACAGGTGCCCACCATCTGCTGAACTACAGAATGAATGAATGATGACCAAAGCAAAAACACCTGGAAACTCCTACTGATTTGGAAAGCTAGGATGATGCTAAGAATAATTGACTCTCACCAGCTTTTGTCAGGACCTGGCTAAGAACTTGAAGTGCCTGGCATGCAGATGAATCCCACTTTAAAGAGGGTTCATTGGGGGCCCAGCATGATGGCTCAAAGGGATTCCATATGGGCACGTGTTCATGTCCTGTTCCACTTCCATCCAGCTCCCTCCCCATGGTCTGGAAAAGCAACAGAGGATGGTCCAAAGCCTTGGGACCCTGCACCCATGTGGGGGACCCGGAAGCAGCTTCTGGCTACCAGTTTTGGTAGCCAGTTTTGGCTCAACTCCGGCCATTGTGACCATCCATTGAACCAGTGGATGGGAGATCTTTTTCTCTGCCTCTCTTCTCCTTAAATCTGATCCACCTTCCCAATGAAATATTTATTTATTTATTTATTACTAAAAGAGGATTCATTGGGGTGAGGTACCAGCAGTATAAATGACTTGCCCTGTGTTCAAGGTGGAGCGGACTAGACTGGCTCTGCCTGGCTTCCCTCCATGTGGCTCTTAGGCTAGGTACCGGATGTGCTCCGCCTAAAGGATGCTGACCCAAGAGCGGCCAGTGGTCACTTCCCCATCCTGGGAGGGGAGCGAGCAGCAGTGGAGTCTAACTGATAGGCATGTGGATGGCCCCCAATGCTGGACCCGAGGGAAAACTTGGCAGGTTTGTGGGCAGCATGGGTGCCTGGAAGGTTTGGTGGGCGTCTGAAGTCACAGGGATGAGTGAGGCTTCCTGCTGAGCCTGAGGGACCCCTGACTTAGGGACCCTCCCTGTGCCCTATGGGTGAGCCTGCCTCCATGTGATGAGGCCTCTGATTCTCAGCCTGCACAGGCCAGGTCACTGTGAGCAGCTCCCCTTCCCTGGGGGGATTGCTGGAAGACCCGGGTTGGGCCGTCTCAGGGAGGGGCAGTCCAATCTCCTATTGCCCACCCCCACACCCAAGTCACATAGGGGTTTATGGTCCTTCCTCTTCCTTTCCTTCAGGTCCTGACCTGGGGATGCAGGACGGGCAGGAGGGGAGGGGCGGGCTCCATCTCACCCCAGCCTGGGAAGGGGTCTCCTACAGAGCCAGTCACACCTGCTGCTCCTAGCCTGCAGGGGGCGCCAAGATCCCGGCTACTGGCGGACGGCCAGGTCTGTGTTGGGGAGGCCACTAGCGTCCTTCACAACGGGATCAGGGGTTGAGCCTGAAGTGAATCCTTCCCTGCTCAGCCCTATTCCCTGGCAAGTACCCCCTCTTCATCCAGGGCTGGGCCTGGCCCTGCTGGGTGCTGGCCTTCGGGAAGGAGTGTGTTCAAGGGCAGGGGCAGCTGGCTGGGTAGACCTGGGGGAGCCCCTGACCGACTCTGACCTTGTGCAAGACCCATTTCTTTCGGGGTACAATCAAGTAGTGGGTCTGACGGCCATTTTCCATTGCTGGAGTTGGTGGTCATCTTCCTATCAGAGGGAGGGAGGCAAGGTGGGCTGCATGCCAGGCTGATAGGTGGCACCCCTGTCATTGCACTCTCAATGGGGTGGGACAGCAGAACCTCCAGCCTTCCCCTGGGCTCAGAGGCTCCAAGGGGAGCTGAAATGACAGCACAGGGCCTTGGGGAGAGCTGCTGGACTGCCTCGGCAGTGACTCACTGGGACTGCATCCAGAAAGAAACTGAGAAACCTCTTCCGGCAGGCACTAGTACCCATCCCAGCTCCTGCCTTCTTTTGGCACAGCAGTTGTCCCTTACCATGCACGTGTGGCCTGGCCTACCCCAGTCCTCCCGGACCCCCAGGGGCTTGCCTGGGAAAGAAATGGAGCTGCGTGCAGGCTGGCGAGAGGTGGGACAGCAGGCCTGGCCAGCATTGCTGCTGCTTGCTGCTCCTGGGATAGGGTGTGTGCCTGGCCCCATTTCACAGATGGGCAGGCTGAGGCCCACTGAAGCACTGCAATCCCTGATAGAGTCCTACAGCAAGCAATGGGCCAGTTGGAATGACAGCCAGGCTCTGGCTCGCAGCACATTTTCCCCAGCATGTGCGGTGGATCTGCCCCAGTGGGGCACTGAACCACCTTTTATGTCACATCTGGCTCACGCCATCCCTGTGCCTTTGCATGGGGCATGGGGCATAGAAGGTGTTCAGTAAGTGCTTGCAGCATGGAGGGAGGGCTCTGTCCTGAGGAAGGGGCCTCTCACAGGGGTAGGGAGGACCAGGCAAACAGCCACAGGCTTAGAGACCCATGCTGATGGACCCAGCCAGTCCTGGAGGCTGCAAGAATCCCCTCCGACCTTTTCCCAAGGATTTGCATGTCCTTGCTGACCCTGGAGCTAGGCTGGGCGCAAATGGCCACAGCACAAATCATTCCTGGGGCAGACAGAGAGCCGAGGCAAGATGGGTGTTGGCTGCCACGGGGCCCAGAGAGGGCCTTGCCCACCACTCCCCCTGCTGCCTCTCTGGTCCCACTTTAGGCTTCTTCCTGCTGCTGCCACTGAGCACTGGCTTAACAATTTGCCACCTGCTGCCCTGGCCACCCCGGACTGCAGCCACAGCCGTGCCGTCGATCGGGTTACCCCAGCAGCCAGCCTAGGCTGCCCCTGCCAGCCAGCTCGTGCCCTTCTTCTCAACGGGGCCACAGGTCCTTCAGGCTCCTCCCAGGAGGCCCTCCCCGCAAGGCTGTGCCTGCAGCCTACGAGGCTGGAGGGCCCTGGCCCTGCCTGCCAGGAGATCAGATCCTCTCAGCCACCTGCTGTTTTCATTAGAAACTAAAATTAGCTGGGCTTGTCCCAAGCTTTTCCAGGTTCGCTTACTTTAAAAAAATATATACAAATTCCTAGAGGAAAATCGCACCTCTGCACCTCCTCCCCGGCTGTCAGTCTGCGCGTCAAGAGGAGAGGGGACGGGAAATAGTTGACGCGCTTGGGAGGCTGAGCAGGTCAGTGTCACCGATCCTGGCCCTGCGGGTGTCCAGGTGGGGGCTGGGACGCCGGCCCAGGCCTCTCTGCCCCCCTCCCTTTGGCCTCCCTGACTGCCCGGGCCACATTTAGAGCCTTCCCAGGAGCCGTGGTGCCTGCGATACCAGGGAGGAAGGAGGCCAAGCGGGCAGCAGGCGGGGGAGCGGAAGGAAGCGGGAGTCTGCTGAGTGTGGGGAGCCGTGGGAGACACGGCAGGGCCGGGCTGGGTGGGAGCGGGCCGAGGACTG